TGTGACACTGTAATAGCAACAGTGAAAATCAAGTCATCTTTCTGCTGACAGAATAAGAGCAGTAAATGTCAAACTAATGAATATAGAGTGGGCATATGTAAATGACCTAGGAGAGAAGAGAGGTTCTTAACATTTTTCATTTTAAGCATAGATCAACCTGAGTTTCACCAAGTGAAAGACTCTTACATGGTTAATCTGCACTGGCTGTAACTCGATCAGAAATCATTTTAAAAAGGGCTTCATATTCTTGCTCAAAATTCTATGAAGTTCAATAGATATCCAGCTTGAGAAGAATAAACTTTCTGAGCTGCTATTCCTCGCCAGGCCGAGCTTTGGGGCCAGCGGTGCTGCCAGAGCAGGGATGTGCTGGCGTGTGCCGCATCCCGCGCGGTGCCCAGGGGTCCTGTCCCTCCCCATGGGCACAGGGAGTGATGCTGGGGAGGGAAGCTGCCTGCTGGCCCACTCCCCCCGTGTACAGCTGCCTTCAGGGGCTGGCAGGGAGCCCCAGACTGAGGACACAGGTATAACCTGCTCTTTGCCTTTCTTCTGGAGAATCGCACGGACATGCTCGGTGTCTCAAACAGGGATTTTCTCTGATGTGATTTCCCATCACGGCTTCTGCTGCTGTTTGTGTCTTTCATCTTTCCTGAAACTGGTAATTGAAACAATAAGAGATGAGATTTGTTCAAAACAACTGAAATTGTTACATGAAAAATGGGGGTTTTGATAGCCGTTTCAAAACACTCTCTCTTCTAAAAATCTCTTTTATAATCTGCTGAAAAAAATCAAAATATCATCTCTGGCTTTCTTACAAATTAAAGAGCATTACTGGCTTTTTTTATTCAGCTGGAAATAATTTCTGTTTATTTGGCTAAATACCCAACCACGGTAAGTGGTATTTTTAACAAAATAATTCATATAGGTAGTCAACCATAGGAAAATATTCTGGCTAAAGAAATAAGCATTGACTTAACAGATTTAAAAATTAAAAAGGCACTAGTATGAATGAAATGCATTCATAAACATAAACATCATAAATAAAACACCTGAATATAATTTTCTGAGGCTGTCCCAAGATGAATGCCATCTGTGCATCCATAAAATAAAAGATTGTCATAGACAAGAAGTTAGATGATATAATTCAAGAAACTGGACAAAATATGCTGGCTAATCTGAGCAGTCTTCTCTGGACTGAAATGCCAATAAAGTTTTTCAGCATTCACCCTTCCCTGCAAATGCTTGTATAGATGAAACCAGCTTTTGTTTAGGAGTGATCAGTCTCGACCTGCTCCTGTGGCCCCTGCCAGGGCTCTTTGTGGCAGCACTTGTGCTGAGCAACCAAACCACGCTTTCTTCAGGAGAGAAAATTAGAGATTAAAAATCTCTCATTCTTTCAGTTCAGCGCTATCCAACAAGTATAGGTACTTTCTTCAACATTGAATTAATTACAGTGAGGATTTTACATTAGTTGGGCTAAAAAAACCCAGACATTTTTGTAGATGAGGATGTCTTCCATGTATCTAAATTAAAATCACTTAGACAAATGGATTCTCTATTTAATGTAGCATTAGCTCAAAAAAAGCACATGACACGGGGATTAGTATTCAGTAGACTCCTTATTTTATTGTATAAAAGTAATTACCTTTTAAATACTATCCAAATTAACATTTTAATATTCTTCTAGGCTTATACATTTTAAAAGCATAATATAACTCGGTACCTAATACAGCAGAACCCCGTTTTCTTTTCTGCTAAATTAGTCTGCTGTATAAATTTGAATAATTTGCAATGCAATTGGCAGCAATTCTTTTTATTACAAATAAGACTCATATTACAACAAAAGATACTCAATGTTTTCAGCACAGGCCACTTAGAATGGGAAGAGCTTAATTTCATTGTATTTGTATTTCTTGGTAAGCTATTTGGGGAAAAGAGTGTTTTATGTTACCCATCTTTATGTTTACCAGACCTTGTCAAGGTAAAATATATGTAAAAAATGGAGTTCCGTCTCAATCCTCTGGTGAATTTTGCATATTAAAAGTCCCAGCTGGCTGAAATAATAGATAGAATTCACTTTAATCTATTGAAATTGAGACCATTTGACTGTTTACATAGTATATGTGGATATGATTTTTGTGCTTTCACATAACATTTTTTATCAGTGTATATTGTGATAATAAGAAAAACTCTTATCACTGAATTTAATTTTTGCTCAGATCTGAAGCAAATTAATCGCTTTGTCATATTGATAAAACCAAATAATTTAGTAAGACCTTAACAGTAGAATCAGGGGGACAGCTAGGAAAAGGCTTTAAGTTTGTAGAATAAAAGATTAATCTGGAAAAAATCCAAATGATAAGTGAAGTGCAGGAGAGATATAATAAAGTTGTAGTAGACTCATCCACCAAATATCTCAGTGGTCTGTTAACCACAGGAGTACATGGGGAAAAGACAGGATTGGGTGGATAGTGAAAGATCAAGGGGTGTGCAATTTTTTTAAGTTATTTATTTTATGAAATGACAATGATAACTGATAATTGCCATGGTAATAACCGCAAGGCAGCCCTGTGAAAACGCAAACTGCTCACTGTCACATCCCAGAGCAGGTTTTAGTGACAGAGCTAGAGAGGCATCCTCTGCAGATCCAGAAGAGTGGTTCTGAGCCTTGTTTCTGGCATCATCCAAGCTGCTGTTATTATATCCACACCCTGGGCACTTGGATTATTATCTCAGTGTGAGGCAGGCCCATGTGCTGTCCTTGTCCTGTGGGCTACAGGAACTACTGAAACTCCTTATCCCAACAGGCTGTCTCATTCCTGACCTCCTTTGATCAGCTCTATTTCCTTCCCAATCCTCTAAAATATTGTGTGCATTATTTGCTGGTATTGGGCATGCTCTTAGCCTTGGGCCGCTCTCCTGGCTGCTGTGTGGGTTTGTGCATTGGTTTCAGAGGTGACAGCCCTGACAGGTGCAGCAGGAAAAACAAAATGAGCTTTGTCTTGTATGGCAAAGTATCAGAATTGTGTAGTCCCTAATGTTCTCTGTGTTGTTTACGTGTCTGAAAATTCCTGGGAGAAAAGCTTTTTGTGGAGAAACAGGTAGAACTGCAACTTTACAGGTCTGTGATGCCACAGCCTGTCCTAAAATATCCTCATAATTTCTCTGAGATTCTGGGAATGTAATAGGCAGTAAAATAAATAAATGTTTATCAGGTAATTATAGATTCACTACCTTCTTTTCATACATTTTTCATACATTCACCCTGAAGTGCAAGGGACATATGTGTGTGTTATATTTATGTATAGATAGATCTGCATAGAACTGTAGCTCACTAGCAGCTAAAAGCTCTGACTCTTGCCCTCTATTAGGTTTCTCTTAAAATACATATTTTCCCTTAAGCTTAAAATAATGACATTAAAAACCCATACATTTTCACAGAAAAATTTTACTGGTGGCTATTTTTTATTTGGATATATATTTTTAATAATTTAAAATATTCATATAATGTATCATTTTTCCATTTCAGTTCAAGTTAAGGTTTTGACACAGCATAGTGAGCAAGGAAAATGACAGTCTAATTCAACTAAGTAAAATTGTTTCATTACCTTTGTGAAATGGACTTGCAACTGAGACCATAAAGCTTGAAACAGAGTTTCAGAATATGGCCACTGCACTTCATTTAAAGGCTTGGGGTTTTTTAAAAAAAAAAGTAAACCCTCTCCCCCTGTTTCTTTTTTATTGTTACATTTATGAACCTCTCATCTCCCTTTCTCACTAGGTTCAGTTATAATATTATCTGCCAATGTAGTTTTGCCTTCAGCTGAGTTCCTCTGAACGTATTCTCATATAATGCAACCAGAACTGGTCCACTGGCCACTGACAAGAACTGTCCAGTTTCCTCTTACATACTTCAGGTTCACCAAGTCAAAAGCATTTCTGTGTCATTCCCTTTGGAAAATGCAATAAACTGATTTTGTTTCAGATGCAGAGTTCACAGTGAGCAGTCATATCAGTAAAATACTGAAATGAGCCTTGCTGACCTAGTGAAAGGAAAATCTGCTGCTCTGGTGCTCTCATGTAACCACAGGAGTTATCTTAGGGTGACAGGATCATGTGGAGAAGAAGGATTAGGCTCTCTCTTATAGGTTTTACATAGGCTTAACATATGTTTTATTTGCTTCCTATGCTGATCCCTTGTCAATAAGAAATTAATTGGACTGTTCTGCTGTGTCAGACTCCTTATTTAGGCAGCTATGGTGAACTTTTATATTAATTTAAACAAAGAAAATTGAAGTCCCAATGGCACATGTAGCCACTGTGTGATTTACCAGCTGCATTTTGGTTGAACTGCAAGTAAGGGAATAAGATATCACAAATCCCACAGCTGTGGAAATAAGGCAAATGCTCATCCAGGTGTACCTTGAAAGAAGACAGACTTTGGGACTGGGATATGCTTCTGCACTGAGAACTGTATAACTGTGCATAGTTTAGAAACTCTGAAGGGAAATTAATATGAGAAGTTAAAAAAAAAACCCAAAAATATTAAAAGCTATGCTTAAGGAAGAATGCCTTGAATCAATTTTCCCTGGGAAAAATGGTCATTTATACTCACCTATTTTGTTTTTGTCAAGCCAAAGGGATCTGTTTTAATTATAACAAATCATTGGCAGAAATAACACACCTTAAGCACGTTTTCCAAAAAAAAAAAATCTAATAATTATCTCTCTATCTAGCCAGTAAGACAAAAAGCAAAGTGCTGTGGAAATTCTCCAGCCTTTTATACATATTTGAGCTGAAATGACAGAAATTTATAAATTGGCAGGTCATGAAAATTACATTAAAGCAAAGCAATCATATTTGTGAATTAGCAGTGGTGTAATACATGTTAATTCTAATTTTGTCCCTTTAGTCACTGCATAACTGAAAGCAGCTTTTTACAAAACTTTGGGGGAACCAACCACAAGTATGTTAAAACAGACATTTACTTAATACAACAGAAATCTTTAACAAAAAGTTGGTCTTTTATTGTTGTCATTCTCAATCCCATTGCAGGTGTACAGCATCTCTTTAACACAAGCTCTGAAAGCATCCACAGAGACAGCATTTGCCTCAAAACCTCTTTTTTCTAGTACAGCAAAATACATTCAGTATCACTGACAATCCCTGAATATGAATACCAATATTAGGATCCACAAGCATAATAAGCATACAAATGTTGTTCTACATAGTTTAATGTGGTGGAAATCTGTACAACGCTTTATCTTTGAGTTTTAGTGGCATTGCCCCTGCCCTGTGTCAAACTTATTGCTGAAATTATTTGGCTTTCTCAGGCAGAAAACTATTTTCATTTGTATGTAGCAGCATTTTCCTCCACAACAAACAAGAAGTGAGTACTTCCAATAGAAATATATTTAATGTAATGCATTGAGCTCATGGAATATTTTCAGCACATTCTCATCAAAGGAAGATGAAGTAGATTTCATAAATCTATCCAGTTCCTTGGAAGCCAACTCTTCATTTTTCTTCTTCCTGTTCTGGCTTGACTTTTTCTGGCTGCTTTGAAGCACATTTGGTCATGACTCTTTTTCCCTGGAGAAATCAGAACTTCTCCTGTTTTTAAAAAAGTGGATGAATTAGATGAGAAATATCCTGGAGCAACTAAAAGTTCTGACCAAATATACCACTGAAATAAACGGAAACATTTCTCGAGAGGCAATTAGATCATGTCTATTGAGATAATTCTCTAAAATCCCATACAAATGAGGAAGCTTGGGCAAAGTGGAGCATTCTTCCAGTCCTTTGTACTCATTGTATTTCAGGTCGTTGTGAGAACTGAGGAAGCTCTCAGTCTGTTTTACACAATTCAGTGGCAAAAGCCCTAAATTCCTTCATTAAAGGAAAGACTTCTTCCTTGCTTTCATAAAATTGCCTACAGAAAATTAATTACTGCCAAATCTTTGCATGGAATATTCGAATTCCTGCCTCTCTCCTCAAGCTGGGTGAAGGGAAACACCACTCTTGTGCTGAAATGTTGTAACAGAAACATCTTCAAGATTACAAGGCAGGGTTTCAGGGCATCCCTCTCCAGTCTTGCAGCAAGGTACTGTTTTGTCTTGTTTTACCTCCCTGTTGAAACCCTGTTGAAATGGAATTATTCATATCTCTAACTGCATCAGGAGCTGGCATTTTTATAGAAAAACCTGCATTCTGACTTATTTCAAATATTTTATTTTTATTTTATTTATTTATTTTATTTATTTATTTTATTTATTTATTTTATTTTTACATCCTGGCAAAAAATGATCCAAATTAAAGGAAGGCTGGTAATTATACCCAAGTTCAAAACTTCATATAAAGGAAAGATAAAGATATTTTAAATCCTACGTTTTAGGCAATTGTAGATTTTCTTTTAAAACGAGAATAAAATTCTGGATTTTATATCATTTTCCCTAGAGCATGTTGTTTTTCTCTTTTCTGGGCTGATAGGAGATTATTTCAGAAAGAAAATACTAATATTAAAAAAATATTTTGTAGCATTAGCTTTATGTGCATAATTGAACTTCTGATTTATTTTATTTTAATGACAAGTGAAAGGTCCTTAGAATGATTTTCTCTTGCTGCATTTACTTCTTTCTTTGAAGACAGAAATAAAATGTATGGATTTGTCAGCTTTTGCATCTATTGTTGGGAAGTAAATGTTCATTTCATTTGCCTAATTTTGTATTTTCCATTTTGGACAGTAGATTTGACTGAGGAATCCCTGTTGTTTTAACACAGACCTGGTTAGTTTAGCCAAAGATGCCAAGTTTTCTGAGACAATAATGAGTTTATCCAGATGCATTCTTTTATATTTTTCCATGCTTTAAAAGAGATTTTTCAAAAGGGCTGAACTAAGTTTACTTCAGTGGCTTACTTTCTCTTCTCTTGTAAAAGGTAAAAATAAGTTTACTGTAAACACAATTTTCTGGAACTAGCAAGACCACACAAAAACTGAATTAATGAAATATCATTCGTTTTGACTGAGTAGATAGAAAACTAGAGACAAAATATTTATTCAGCCTGGTGTGTTGGTTTATAAAACTGTATGATCTCTTTTGGAAATTTTGATACATTTGTATGTATTTTTTTCTGAAGTAACTCTCTATGCGAAAGATGGCAAATGAGAGAAATTCTAATTTCAATCAGCAAAGTCACAAAGTTACACAAATCATCAAAATATCATCCTCAACAATCACCATATATTAGTATCTTTTAGAAATAGCTCAATGCTGGTTTTTTAGCTTGCAGCATTTAGAAATTAATCTGGGAATCATAAGAATCTTTCCAGTTTTCAGCAAGTAAAAGCCATTCTGTCCTTTTTTGAGCTGTCCCTACGTGAGAAGGGATTTGGAAAAATAGCATAGTAGCTGCTTTTTGGGTGTGGGGAATGACAGGCCTGTTTGGCAAAATGTTTAGAAAGTGGATATAGAAAATATAAATCACATCAGACTCATTCTGAACCCACTCTTTAGTGGCAATAACAACCTAAGAAGACTTAAAACCATGAAGAGGGATCTAAGTTTGTAATTCTTGCAAATATTAAAGATTATTCTTCTGATTCAGTGTTTCTCAAGCTATTTTTAAATTTGCTTGCTTGAGCCCTTCTCTTAAAGAAAAAAAATCTAGTCCTCACAGTCCCTACCTCCTCAGCATTTGAAATAAGAGGTACCTTCTATTCCAGGATATTAATAATTTTTCATATTAAAACCATTCCCCAGCTCTCTTAATTTTCTCTTTTATCTTTCTGTGCCTTCCTGAGAAACATGTTAAAAACAAGAACTACTTCTTAAGAAAACTGTGGAGAGGATTTGATGACACATTGATGTTGCACTTTTTCTGAGAATACTGTAATTTAAACAGGTTTTTTTTTTCCTGAGAGATGAGAAAAATATGAAAATTCAATAGCTAGGGGAAAGCACAAAAACCAATGGCATTGCTTCTAACACCTTCCAGTTCTGTAACTGCAGCATCCTAGCTCATCAATCCAAAACTTAAAATCCAAAACAAAAATCTTAAAAACTTAACTCAGTAATGTTCTTTCAATAATGCTGCACTGTTTGGAGCAATGGCTGTCGGAAATCTGTTTTCCTACCAGGAAGCAGGGGCAAAAGAGTGCGTGGATTTTGTCTGCATTACTTATAGTATTAATTTGATGAATAATTCCCTCCTTTATGTCTCATTACACTAGATTTATTTGCCACCCTTTGACACATCTTTCTGCAAGTGTTGGTGGCTCCAAGCAGAGCGTGAAAGACATTGTTTTTCTTTTAATGAAACTGAAATGTGAAGCAATAGATGCATAATCACTATAAGATATTAACATCAATTCGTATGTTTTACTACTCTGCTATTTCTATTACTACCCAGTCAGACTCTTGCTAAACAGAGGAGTTTGGCAAGTGCCAGTCCTGTGTTCAGTATTAGATGTACAGGCTGGTAGGTGGTGGGAGCTGGAAAAAGTGTTAGGAACGAGGTTCCTACCACAGACAGTCTCCCTCTAAAAAGCAGGGGCAGGAGGAGTACAATTCTCACTTTCTCCCTCCTCACTTAGTCAGTGTTTTGGTGGCCTGCCTGTGCTCTGGTTCCTGGAGTCTTTTATTTTCATTTTTTTCACAGCCCTGTCTATCTGATTCACCCCTCTGGCTTTCCTCTGGAAGCACATACAGGAACACACAGACCACGAGTGCAGTCTCTTCTTGGATTTGCTAAGAGCACATGTTGACATAGACTTCTCATTCACCCATTCTTGTATTACCCCTTTGTCAGATGTGTAGTGAATTATCCAAGTGAAAAATGCTACTGCTGCAGTTAGATATTGTGATGCAGTTCTATTTATTTATCTTTTTAAAACATGGAATGTCCGATTCACGCACCCGATTATTTCCTTCTGGTTCTTAAAGCCTCTTTCCATTATAATTCTCTCTGAAACCATTCTCTTCTTCTCACCTTCTTTTCTTCTCTGTGTGATTGAGCAATGGGACATTCTTCTAATCTTGACAACTTCTTTACTTTTCCCCTAAAATACAGCTCCATCTAAAAACACTTTCCATTGGTCTATATTTTGGTTTGGGTGTATAAAGTAACTTTGTACTAAGTCTGTTGGTGTGTTTTTTGTTTGTTTTTTTTTTTTTATTGTGGTAGTGTTGTTGTATTGGTTTTAGGCTTTTGGTGTGGTTTTTTGTTGTTTTGGTTTGGTTTTGTTTGCCTTTTCTTTCTAAACATATCCAGAGATCAAATATGGATGTCTCCAAAAACTTTAAGGATTGGTATACACACTATAACAACTCTTATTCCTTCCTGGGCTCTCATTACCTGAAACAGATGGTAGAGGAGAGCTGGACTCCTGCAAGATGTTTTCCCAGAGGAAGGCAATTGCCTTTAGTGACAGCTGAGCAAATGTCAATTTCTGACTCACAAGACACATATTTCATTAAAAAAAAAAAAAACACGAAAATTTTTATTTGGAGGAAACACAGCTTTTCAGGCTTTCCTGCAGAATAAAAATGCTGGAACTTCTGTCCAGAATTCTAAAATCACCTTCAGAGTTTTATAGTCCCCCTTGGAGCCTTCCCAGATACATCTATTTGTATATTCCCATGCATAGCCTTACACAGAAAAGAAAAACTTACAGAAGGCCTTGAAAACTTCTCACTTATGCTGGAAACAAGCAGACAAACAAACAAAAAATCCCGCTATTCTGATAAGTAATAAAGAAACAACAATAATTTCGTGTTGAATGTGGAAAATATGCTTGAGTTAACATGAGCTCTACTCCATACTCCAGAGCTTGTGATGTTCTGGGCCCAAATCTCTTCTTGTCCCTGTGCTTAATATTGGAACATTTAAAAGAAATAGGATTGTCCCACATCAGTTTGAAACTTTAGAAAATCTGAATCTTTAGAAAACTGTTTTGAAGCAGGAATACAGCCTCTTACTCTGTGATTCTCTTCTGAAAATGAGGCCAAAATGTACTCCCCACTGTAGTGTATGAATGCATCTGAAATTACTGAAGCATGTTTCAGTACACATAGCTCAGCACATCAGTCCCAGGGCTTGTCTATGTGCCAGTCAGAGGCTCAAGTGTTTGCAATTACGTCTGTAGGCTTGGAACAAGGGATCTGGCACTGACTGCTCCCTACTTAGCCCAAATTAACATCACTGAACTCATTTAAGTCATTTTGGCTTCATACTTAAGAAAGTGAGGACAAAAGTTAGCCCAAAGTGTGATTTGATGCTGAGGCAATTTGATAATGAACATGTCTTCTCACTGATGTCCCAATATCTGAAAAAGCAGATCAAGTTCTGGAGAAATCTTTGCTCACTTATGTACCCTCACCCTCTGCTCCAGATGGAACAGGGTGTGCACTGCAAACTTGGGCCAAAGAACTCATCTTGATCTTACGAGTTGTTTTATTATTTTAAGTTATTGTAATAGTATCTTATACAATTGCTACATGTTATATTAATACATTACAAGTAATATATTAATATAATCAATATGTTTATTATTCATTTTTAAATTAAAAAACCGTTATATTATTTGGCACTGCTGGGCTGATGGAAGAGATGTTACCAAAGGCAGGAGAAGTAGGATCACATACTTGGACAAACTGCAACGGTGGTAGAAAAAGCTAGAACCAGAAAAAGTAAATTATCTTTATTTGTACACACATCAAGGCTTTAAATCACTTTAAGTACAAGTGATGATTAAAATAAGTTTTTAAGAATAAAGTCCAGATGCTTCTGAAGTCATAAGGTCTTATGTTTATTTTTTTCCTTACTGACTCCAGAAGAGAAAGAAATCCAAAAGAGTAGAAGAGCTTTCAAATAGGCAGCAAATGAACTACTGAAGTGGAACAAGGACTAGCCATACATCAACAGAAATGGCTTGAGCTCAGACACTCTCCATCTAGATTAGAGAAGTGCTCAGCTGAGAAAGCCAAGAGAATTAAAGAATGAAGAGATGGACAAAGACCAGACAGATCCTGAAATAAACTGTAATCAGACACATTTGTTATGTTATAAATACAGCACAGGATTACCTGGTGTGATTTGCACAGCAGCACTGCAGCGAACTGTGCTGCATGGCTGTATGCAGCAGTAGATGCATGTGACATTACTCAAACTCTTACAATCAAATTGGAAGTGTAACAAATTCTTTCAGTGCCAGAGTTGCTGTGCAAAGGCAATATTATATTTCACAACATAGTTCATTTCCAGGCAATCCAGTAAATCAATATTTAATGAACATATGGGGTATTATAATAAAGAATATATCTAAGCAATAGAAGTTCTTTGATTCAGCTTCTTCTTTAATGATTTTTGTAATACTAAAGTGGAAGGAAATTAACTTTTCACCATTCTCAGGTCTTTATTTCAGCTAAGAATCTCTAGGACAAGGTGCATCCAACATTCAGACCTACTAAACATTTTTTGGGCCAAACAAATGAGTTAGGCCATTTTTCCTCACTAACAGCTCAAGCATCCTGCACTACATTTCACTTTTGTCCTTTCTTATATCCCTCTTACACCCAAATTCTTTAGATGATGGTCTTGTTTTTCCAGGCTGATTAGGACTGGTGGGCTCTACCTCGTATCTTGATGACTGCATTAGTAGTGCTCAAGCACCCTGGTTTTTCCTACACACTTCTTTCAAACCTGTGGGGAAAAAGCTAATGTGATAAAACAACAAATTACCACAGTAGAGGATGAGTGACCTTACAGAACAAATTCTGGCTTTTCTGCAAGCTTCAGAGCCTCGTGCATCCCTGCGGCTGAGAGTTTGCGGTTGATATTCCTGTATCTGCATTGCAGCAGGTTGCGATAGGTTGTCCTCAGGTCCCGGTTGAAGAAGGCATATATAAAAGGGTTAATGAGAGAGTTTGCATAGCCCAGCCATAGAAATGTTCTCTCCACCCAGAGTGGGATGCAGCTGCATGCTGTACCACAGATGAAGGGCCTTGCAGTGGAGAGGAGGAAAAAGGGCAGCCAGCAGACTGTGAAAGCCCCAACAATAATCCCAAGGGTGGTGGCAGCCTTCTGTTCTCTTTTGAAGATGGAAATGTTTTTCTTGTCATGCTTTAGGAGTCGTGAAAAATTAGTACATTCTTCAGATTCCTTGTGCAGTTTTACAAGTCCATTCACAGAAATCCCTTCCATTTCTTCCAGGCGGGGGAAACCAGTGAACTTGTGTTTAGCAGCACTCCTCCTGGCAGCTTTATAAATCTGATAGTACATGAAAAGCATCACTGACATCGGAATGTAAAATGCAACTGCTGTGGAGTAAATGGTGTAGCCAAAGTCTTGACTGATGAGACAAACTTTTTCATCATTTACATTCTGGGCCCAGCCGAAGAGCGGGGGAATGGTGATAGAGGCAGATAAAAGCCAGACACACAGGATCATTTTGGCCATACACTTCCCATTCTGCCTTACAGGGTACGTAAGAGGTCTTGTTATTCCCAGGTACCTGCAAGGATAGCACAGAGTTACTACAGAGGTTAACTGTTAAAAATTATCTCACGTAGTCTGCCCTAGACCAAAATCTTTGGCTAAGTTTTCTGCTTCATAATTTTCAGTCCTCTCTTTGCATGTATTTCTCAGCTTTAAGTTCATGTGTCTTTCATGTCAAAACTTTTAGTGATAGTATGAGACATAAAAGGTCTTTTACTCCAGAAGGAAATCTCCCATTGGCCATAACAGGCTGTGATTTTTATGCATTTATTCAACCTTCACACACATAAAAGCATATTTTGGCTTTTAAGAAAATTCTGAGACCTAAATTTTATTTTGCGACCTTAAGAAATCTTGGAGTGTAGAAGAATGCTCATCCCACAAAGTCTATCACTTTTTGTATTGAGTGGATGGTTACAGCAAGCAAGCATTCATCTTCACTCTTCTTACATATGCAGCAATTAGGAGGAGCCCTGCCACTAAACTGAAATGATCTTTCTTTCCTTCGTGTTTCAGGCAGGAACAACAAACTGCTAACTTATATCAAGAGTAGACTAATTCAGTACTAAAATAATTCTTTTAATCATCATTTAACTAGAAAGAAAAGATGCTTATTCACTATCCAAACTTTTACTGAACAAAATAAAATCTCTCCCAGTTCAAGAAGACCTGAGGAAGAAAACAGTTTTATAGACAAGAAAAATGTTTATAATGGGTCAATTTTTCATAGAAAAAAAAAGGTCTGTTGACAACTTTTATGTTTCCTAATTTGTGGGATTTTAAACTAAGTATCTTTTTCTAATTACAAGGTATTACTATTGCCCTATATAGCCGGGTAAGGATATCCTAAGTTTGAATTTACTTTCAGCTGTAGAACATTTCTGTATTTCCTCTCTAACAGTGGGAATTTTCTTGCATGGAATCAGATGCATTTATTTAGATCTACGATTTTTAGTTTAGATTTTTAGTTTCAATTTTTGCTTCTGCTCAGCTGGAACTTACCTATGAGTTACTGTTAATATCTCAAATTGTTCTTTTTTACTTCCTCCAATATAATTTAGGGAAAATCAGTGAGATTTTTTTTGTTACATGTAAAAGAAACTATTTCAAATCAAGTTTCTGAATAATGCTTTGGTTACAAAAGATAATGTTTCAAGAGATAATCAGTGTTTAATCATATTGTGAAGGTTCTGGAGTGTCACAAACAAGAGCTATAGCAATGTGGTTCAAAATATTTTTGGGGAGCATGTTTTCTCTGTCTAATCACTTAGCACATCAAATATGAGATTTGCCTGGCTCTGTGGATTGGTGCATTGTTCATTTTACTGCAGTGCAGTAAATCATGGCCAGTGCTCTTGCTTTATAAAAGCACCTGGCTATAGCACAGTTATGGAAGTAAAAGAAACATGATTTAGTGATCTGTTCCAATGAGTATCAACAATCCTGTTCAACCATGCCACTGGTTTTATACTGCTATTATGACAAGCATTACACAAAGGACAAGTAAATTACAGCAGGTCAGTATTTTGCCAGTGAATCTGTGCCTGGAGGGGCCATGAACTGAGAATTCTTATGGGAATTGTCTGGGATCAGAGCAGTGCAATCCATGGACCACACTATTAAAAAGGGCTGCTCCTTGTGCCCCTCACCACCAGCATTAGAATAAAGTCACTGGCCCAGCAGCCAAGGGCATCGTGCAGAGACCAAGGAGGTTCCTGTTTCATAGCACCATGGCCAAAACCATTTTCACTCCCAAGGAGCTGAGGGTGTTCCAAGGTGCACCGAGACATGGAAGAGATAGTGCAGTGAAATTTCAGTTTTAACTAATTCCAGTATGCATCACACAGCTTTAAGCAATGCAACTGCAGCAAGGGTGAGCTCTCAGCTGCAGACTTTTGGGGACAAGAGTGGCCTACCCTTAAAATTTGTCTGAGAATAGCCCGATTTAGGTACAAAACAGTTGAACTCGTTCTTTGTGGGCAAAAACTTCTTGTCATTTACAATGTGCTGGTTTTAAAAAAATCCTTAAAAAGTTGGTCTGCCTTCCTGAAGAATGCACTTCTAAAGCTGTTACCTAACTGGCCACTAAAAATAACACACTTTTGAGGTGAACTTTATTATGTAGCTAAAAAAGTTAAGCTGGATTTCTGTAAAAATGAGATCTGTGGGCTGCATACTCTGAGTGCCTACTGATGCATTCTCATGCACCAGAATGTAACAAAAAGAATTCATGAAAGCATAAGTATCCTGAAAAGAATGAAAATTCATTAGTTTTGCCCTAGCATCACTTTTTTTGGAGTGTATCTTTTCTTCAGAAATGCTATTTGAAATTAAAATACGTTAATTAACATAAAAATACACCAGCATCCTTTCTGCCTTATTCATTTTGCTAAATGTAGTATGATAGGGAGAAAGAAGTCAGCAGGCCCAAATGAAGGAATGTTATCTTTTAATCTCTCTATATGAAACCCATTACCCTTGAAAACTCATTTGCAACATCAAAATAATGTAAATCACTACTGTTGTCTAATACACTAGAGAGTGTTCAGGGCTTAATAGATTCATGAACTTCAAAAATATTGTGTCAAATTCAGTGGGAACATATGCTTTTTAATTCTTAATCATAAACTAGTACTTTAATTAAAAATACTTAAGGTGAATCAGCTGAACTTAACATATTCAAGTGTAAGTAACACCTTGAGATCTTATTACTGGGAAAGAATGAAGTCAGAGTCCCTAAAAAGCCCATTTCATGTGTCTCAGCTATCCCCCACATGAAAGAAGTGTCTCAGACTTGTTATTCTGAGATTTGTTTCTTTCACATGCCACAGATGTTCATTTTGATCTTGGTGAAGAAACTGTACTTCAGTTCTCACTTTTAAATGAAGGGCAATGCTATTTTGTATTCTTCCTGCTCTGAATTTCTTGACTCTGTGGCTCTGCCAGACAGGGCATCTCTCCATGTTACACCCAGCACAGTGAGGTCTGTATCTAGGTTATTCCCCAAAAGCAGATGAATGGGCTTTATTTCTTCTGAACTGGTCATGGTATTTTCCATTCAGCACTGCCTGATGTTGCATGCAGAGCACTAAAGTGCAGGATGCTGGACCAGTTGGGCAGCCCTGTGAGAGGCACAACACACACAGCAGTCATGTCCTGCTGCCATTCCAGGATGCTGGCTGAGTGTAAAACACTGAGAAGGAAGAAAACAGCACTGCTGTCTAATGGATACAGCAAAAAAGGATGATGTGAACACTTTTCTACTGCATCACATATGTGGAAAACAGACCTTTGCTTAGAGAGCTCAAAGTAAACAGCAGAGACCAAGAAGATGACAAATGGCGAAGGGCAGAGTAAACTTCTTGTTAAATGCATGTGTAAGAACACATGAGCATATCCCTGTTCTGGGCTGGTTTCTTATAATTTCTTCAGAGTCTCTTCTTCCCCACTGGGGAGTTTGGAAGCTGGTTCTTCTGCTATTGTCCCATTCAGGTGTGAGGCACACAGTGTGCCCGGCTCTGGGGAGGAAAAATTGCCCCATCTTCTTCCATGAGTTCTGTTAAAATCTGGGAGGAGGTAAAGAATTGCCTCCTTTCACCAGCCATTGTGCACAATTGCCACTTGCCTCACACAATGAGCACCAACAATGGAAAAGGTAAACAAACAAATCCTTTCCTTTTGCTTTACAAAAATCTGATTCCCTGTGACAGAATTCTTCCCCAGTATCTCTAAATGGTTAGCCTTTAATGACAAGAAATTGTTATAGAAAATTTAACATAAAACCATTTTAACTATATAAGTCTGCTCCTGACATCATTTAGCTTGTGGGCTTTTTTCATTCTGGCTTCTCTGCCATCATTCCATTACAATGACTACACAGAATAGTTTTTATCATACAGGGCTAAAAAAATCTCTATTATCACTTTAACTGTAGATCACATAGGCACATGGGTCTAGTCCTCACACCTTTTGAAATATCTAGCAAACAACCTCAGACTTAACAACTACATTGACTTAAACAATGGAAAGAAAATAGTAACAGGATGGTCCAATTTGTGATCATGTGTCCTAAATCTTCCTTTCCTATCTCCATTATATGGCTAAAAGATAAAGAGTGAAAGAACTTGCCTGCCACTGTGAGCAAAGTCATAGAGCAATAGAAAACTGTTAAGAGAATCAAAATAATTTTGAAGCTTCCTGCCCAATTCAGTAATAAATTGAATGCATCATGACATCAGCATCACTTATGCAGATGTTGTACCACACGTGTAATTCTTTTATAGCCAGATAGAATTCCATTCTAGTTAGTCCACATTTATGTCTCAGAATTCACTGACTTGATCTAACAGATTCCAGAATCAAATTAGATCTTTCACTATCTGACTATGCTTTTATGAAGCAGATTGGATTGCTATGGAATAAGACTAGAAACATTATACTGGAAATGATACAGATATGTATTACAGCTATTTCTGCCAGGAATCATAACATACTGTTTTGTTATCACTTATCATTTTATTAGAGTTGTGCTTAATACGGGGTTCTGTCAGTTCTCCTACTGCTGTATTTTAAGAGTCATAAAACTGCTTTATTCTGAAGACACCACAGTGCTTTCTCCTTTGCTTCTCTGTTTCTCTAGCACATAAACTTTCTGTCTTCAATATGTATCTCCATGTAGGATTTCTTTGCAAACCCACATCTATAGAATTCCTGTTCTGTATTTCACCTCCAGTAACAACTTAGTCTGAAGAATTATGCTGATCTACTGGCTTTTTTAGATCATTGGCTATGATTTCAAGATCATTGGCTATGATTCTCTCTTTCATAATTTTTTCTATTTGGTTCAGCTCAATAATAAGAGACATTTCACAAGAACAGGAGCAAAATGCCATTCCTAAAATCTATCCAGCATTCAAAAATATTCTCTCTAGTATAGTAATGCATCTAGATAACTTTTCTTTTTCCTTTCCTTCAAGTCTAAATGTAACAAGTTGAAACAAATACCAAATCTATTCT